TAGTAGCTACGGCTGGTGAAACATGGCCATTTCGAGTAATAGCATCGTTTCTCCTTTCTTTTTCTATTTCTTATGTTTCGGTTGTTGTTGTCGTTGTTGTTGTTGTTGTTTTTGTCGTTGTTTTGTTGTTGTTGTTCTTGTTTTTTGTTTTTTTTTTTTTTTTTTTTTTGTTTTTTTTTTTTTGTTTTTGTTTTTTGTTTTTTGTTTTTGTGTATAGTTTTTGTAAATCCCAGGCAAAGTTTGCACGGTATTTTTACGACACCTTTGTTGCGTGTGCAAATGTCGGGCGAGAAAACATGATGGAGAGAGGCTCGGCCTAACGCAAGGAAGAATCGCCAAAAATGGTCGTACCCTCCAGGAGCTCGAAACTACGCGCCACAATAATAAGTAAATGTCTAAATTATTATTAATTCATACGTACCTGTGTCTTCGAGAGACACATACATTCCGAAATACACCAGTCGGACGTTTTTGTGGCGGCCGTGGTGATGTTTCCCTGCACGGCGAGCGGTGAATTTACCAGAGCCAAGCATAGCGAATAATGAAGCCAGATCTGCATTAATAAATGAGAACGTGTACTCGTAACTTTTATCCTGCCTTTATGTTGCGGGCTTTGCGTTATTATCCGTGGCAAATATACGTGCGATTAAGCGAGCCCGTAGGAATTCGAGGGAAAGTGGGCAAAGTGCGGAAAGTACGGCGGACAATTGTAGGAGGTTGCCGTGCTCGGAAATGTTGGGAAAATCCGCGCTCGGGGTGCCGTTGGCCTGGCTGCGAGTGAAGTTCCGTCGAGGGAGTTCAGCTCGACCAATTAAGCGGCACAAGTACGTGCGCGTAAGCTGCAATTAGAAAGTGAGAACTGCGTGAGGATAGCCGTGGCGAGTGCTGCTGGTGGAGGTGGGGCAAGTTGATATAAGAAAACGAGGGCGGTCGAGGTGAGCAACGCTCGGGACCAGCTAGTGCATTATTACATAATAGCGTGTAAAATTTCATACGTCAGGATCTTGTCTGGTGCGTTAGGATAATATGGATGCATATGTCGGGGTGGTCGGCTGTTGTCCGTTAAAGGTTAATGGGTAGGGGAGGGTAAGGCCAGCATAAAATGTTTCGTGGGTCGCAATGATGCAGTGACAGGATCGAGTATCTCGATATTACAATAAAATACACAGTTGCCCGTCAGGTTTCTCAGCCGAGATCCGACCTTCCGACGTTCCGACGATACGATATGCGTCGTAAAATAAATGATAAATAAACTTTCCGCGAGCTGATTGGTGAATATTTATATCGTTTACAATGGCTTGGCTTTTAATGAAAGGCGTCGTATCGTTGCTGTGAAATTTACGGTGATGGATTTTTGCAATAAGCTGGGTGGAGTCTGGAGATGGGACGTTTATTGAGTCGGACATTAAAAACAATTTGACGCGACAACGAGGCTGTAAAATTCTCTAGCGAGTATCACGATCATTGAAGATTGAACATTCTGGATGGTAATATGGTCTATCGCATATACGCGCCACAGCCGATGTATATTTATTATTTTTAACGGATCGTCTGTTATTAGCGTTGATTAGTTGTGGATGAGCGGGAGATGTGCTTAGCCCACCTACTGCGTACTGTATAATAGTCTTTTCTATTCGTTTGCTTAGAGCTTTCGACGAAATTATTATCTTAATGCAATTGCATGATCTAGCGGCTGTTTTGTAAAATTGGAAATCACAAATCGCATAGCGAAACGGCAAATAGCTGGCAATTGATGTTGAAATAACATAATTAGCATAATTATGAAATGAATGAGAGAATACCTTTAATTTAAGCGAGCGATATATTTTATTGTATATAACGAGACCTCACGAAAGTAATTGATATTGTTTTTGCGAATTTTAATTCGCTCGATTAAACGAGTTATTAAAATTAAAGGATTATTAATTATACGGAATATTATATTATTGAAATATTGCATGCAGCCTTATCACACGTATAACCCGCTACATCTACGCGGGCAAATGCCAATTGCACGAATTTCAATTTATGGAGCAGATCCATAACGAGAGAGCATTATAATTGAAAATTATTGCTTACATTATAGTTTGTTCAGATTTTTCACTTGGGAACTTTACATAATTATTACTCGGCATGGCTTTCGGAGATTCCATTGTTTCATTATTTATACCGATTAAGCCATTGCTTTAAAGTACATTTAAAATTATTATGCGAATAGTATTGAGGGCAGCGACGCAATGCAAAAGTCGTGACGCTAAGCCAAGTCAAGTTTGAAATAAAAATAAGAGCTCGTTATACTTATTCGTTATAAAATTCCCAAGAAAATATTCGGTACGCTGACTGCCTTGGAATTATTTGTAGGAGAGAGGACGATGAATAAGACAGAAAAAAAAAATAAATAAATAAACAACAACAACGATGACAAAAATAATAATAACAAAAGCATGCAAAGTCACTGTAAATGTAATTATTAATTCGTATAGAATGAATGGAATGATTGGAGGGGACAAAAATTTTTAATTTCTTACTAATTCAAGCATAATTATATATCCACATTCATCGTACGATATCCAAATAAAAATTAGGTTTCTTAATCGACAATCTCTTATCCGATCACTTTCGAGCCCTTACGCGCGTTATGATAAACTACGAGTCATTACTTAGCATTCTAATGAAAATATCGACTGTACGACTTCCTTAAATCGGCTTAAATCGGGTTAATTACAAATTGCCATTGCTGTGTAAAATATTGCGATAAACAATTGCGATAAGCCAATACATCGAAACAGCGGGAGTGAAAAAATAATCGGCTTAAATTGGGAAAATTTGCTCCCTAATTAATCTAGGCCAACGCGGAGCTTCGCGATTATTTACGAATGTGACGAGTTAGTTGAGCGGCGATCAACTTTCAACTCGTACTCATCGATAGAAAGAATAAAAATCCGTTTGCGGCTCGGAAGCTTTGACATCGCACGAAGCCGAGACGCGTTAAAGCCAATGATTACTCAAATACAAGGCGAGTACGGGATTTTCCTCGGTTACGCATAAATATCACTTTCTTCGGAAAACAATTTGACGCCGACTTAAGGAGAAGAAGCTGCGAGAATCAATAATTCGGAAATTCGAGCATTCGTTCACTTTGAAAAATTCGATATGCCAAGCACGCGCTCGCTTATATAGTCGATGATATCGTCAGCAAAGCCGAGACGTCGTCGGGCCAAATGTTCGTCGTTTTCTCGCCAAAAAGCCGGGCAGTCAACATCCGTTTCACTATCACTCCGCCCTTCGCCGGTCGCACTCGACTCGCGTCCCAAGGTCGCCGCGAGGCTCGGCCTCATTGGCGTCCTCATTGGATGGCCTCGGTGCCGTGACGTCGGTCACGTGCGCGCGGCCCGGACCTCTCGTTGCCCCGGTGTCTCCGGGGGCTCCGGCCCCATCCCCCTCCCCCTGCCCCTACCCCAAACACTTCCTCCATCGCCCCTGTAAATACGAGCAGTTGTACCTGCGCTCTGCGATACATCAATCGGCGGGGCCGGCAGGGCGCATGCCTCGGCGTCCGGTCGGCGAAGCTGAAGAGCGACCTCGTCCTCCTCGTCCGCGAAGGCTTCTCACCCGGTTGGGATTGGGATTGGAATTGGGATTGGGATTAGGGGGGTCGGCACGTGGAGGGGGAGGAGGACGACGGCGCGCGCGCACTCGACTGAGCCCCGGGTCCGTCGGGAGGCTGGCGCGCACGTGCGTAGCGGCGCCGGGCACACGCGAGACTGCGAGCCTCTCGAGTGCCGCCGCGACGCTCGCGATGCCATCCCCACCCCCGCACCCCCAACGAGCCGTAGCCCGGCGACGCTCCCCCGAGCCTCATGCGCACGCCCGTAATTACCCGCCCCGCCGGCCGAGCGAAGCTGATTAGGGAAGGACCGAGGCCTCGAGCCCCGGCCGGAGCCTCCGGATGTTTGCCTCGTGGCCATAATCGCTGACCGTCTCGCTGATCGCTCGATCGCGACCTGCACGACGAATTCTCTCCCACAGGCCGTGGACCTCGCCGCCCCCGAGACCCCGGCTCTTTCGAGCCTATACCCGGCCCCGAGCCTTTCTAATTATCATTTGCTTGCCCCAAGTCACAAGTCCCACTGCTTAACTTCCTCGTGATATGCCAATTGGGAGTGAAAATTATCGTTTGGCTGCGTCCCACGCGCGACTCTACTGATGCTCGGAAAGTAATGCTTCTTGAAGCGATAAATAAATAATGGTTTGTTTGAAAGTAGCCCCATGGCATAATTGAACCCGCGTCCGTCCGTCCCACCCACCCACCCACTCCCTTCTATCGACCTAAACCACGCGTCCTTTGATTACGTCGCTTCCTTTAACGCGTCTAGCGATTTTAAAATATCACGGCAATTGCTTTAAATTGACCATGATTTCGTAACCGCGCAGGGGACTATAATTTTTTTCTATGAGGCTATATCGAATTTTCAAACGTTTTTCCAGCTCGACGTGTATTTTCCGAGTGAGCAGTTTATCCAAGCGTGGATAAACGAAAAATAGATTAAAAGGAGGCGATTCCGAAGTTTGGCCTCTGCCGCTAAAGGCCAACTGAAATCTCGGCCATTTCATAATGATGTTTGAGCGAATTCCTTCTCGTCCGAGCCTCCACTTTCTTTGTCGTGCAAATAAAAGTGGGATACATAACCGGTGAGTAGCTGCTTATTGCCACGTGGCGCAAATTTCCGACTCCATTGACTTTTCGACGTCCGTTGGCGCTTTAATATCCAATACGAAGATAATATTGATCGTTACATCAGAGTATTCATCCTTTTTATTCATTACATTACGGGAGTAGCAGAAAGAACTTCTATACTTTAGTTTGTGTTACCATCACTATATTCCGTACAAACTTGATTTCAAAAGTATAAGTTTACGTATGAGCTATCAAAGTCTAAAAAAGCAAAAAAAAGGAATAAAAAAATCTTTTAACTTCATTAATAAGGGATGGAAAGGGAAGTTGTATGCAAAACGCGAGAGCCAATAGATCTAGGAATAACGACGGATGTTCTCATAAATAATGGGAATGAATGGGATTGATGGGAGGATTCGGAGAAAAGCGAATTAGTAAGATGAAAAACAAAGGATGTGAGGATTAAACGAAAGCATGAGAAACGTAGTGATGGAGAATGTTATGATAAAGCGAAGATGGAATAACGATATAGCTATATCGTTCTGCTTTTGGAGTTTCATGTTCAAGGAACATTTCTCTAGTAGTGCACGATGCTTGAGATAAGGGGAGTAATAAATAAGTTAGCCTTAGTTAGATTTCTTTCCCGAATGGAAGTTGAAATAATATTGAATCGAAAGCTACGGATACGACAAAACAATTTGGTTGCAAAGAATGACGGGCGAAAATACGTAATACGGTGTACCATAAAATTTAACGACCCAGACTAGATCTCTATTACTTGATAAACTTGCTTTTCATTTCTTTTCTATCATTATCCTCATCCCTTTTCTTTCCCCTACGCTTATAACGACTCGAGCATCACTCACTTCAATATCAATTATTGATACATAATTTGTTGATTAACGGGACAATTGCTTTGCTTGTTTTTGCTTTTTTTGCTTTTCACTTTCTCTTGGCACTTAGGACTTAGATTACCACGGTACGCCTGCCTCCTCGGGCCAATATTATTTAAAAGACTGTCTTGGAGCGAATAATAACATAATCAGAAATGAGGCAGATAAATTTTCGTTAATTATCTCGGGAGACGAAAGGATTCGATAAGGCGATAATAAACCATTTTGCAATGAAGTTGAATAACTTTGTTGAACTTGCTGGCATTCGAATAGTCGAGAAAGTCATTTTATAAAAGTCGCCTTAATAAGGGGGGGGGGGCGCGGGTACAAAAGTTAGGGAAGGCTTAAGAACGTCTGGAACGTCGGACAGCGTTAGTGATATAGGATGAAACAAAAAAAAAAACAACAAAAAAAAAATGCTGACAATAATTAACAAATTGCTTGTTCGCACTCGTCGTAATAGAAGATTAGAAGATAACGTCGGTGGCGATAAAACGAAAGTGAGCGGGGCAAAGTGTAATTTTTAACTGAACAGTGAGCTAGTCTCGTACATTTGCCCGTACATATTAATAAGAGCCCGGGCACAAATAGACGCGCCTTATCATTTTTACCGCATCGATGGCATTTGCGAGGACTAATTAAAATATTACAGATACCGTAACTCGCCGTTGAGGAGCAGCGATTTTGAAAAGCAAATCCTAGCGATTCGGGAAAAAGTTCATTCGCAACGCAAGAGCCATTATGAAAGTAATAGCCGAGAAAACGGGAAGGACGCGTTCGTTGCCTTTGCATTTTCACGGGCGCACTTAACCCCAAATCCTTAACTGTCGTTGGCGCCCACTACCATAAACCACATCCAAATGTGCGGGACTCTCGGTCCATCCGTTCCATCGGGATACGCCGCTTCCGAGCGGGGAACGGGGCGAGCCCGAGAAGTTGAAAACGTTTACGTCCGTGCCGTTGATTATCCGGCACTCGCAGGCGAATTAATTCCCGATACACCGATAGGGCAGCCGAGGCAAAGAATGCCAAATGAAGAAAAAAAAAAAAGAAAGAAAGAAAGAAAGAGATGTAAAAAAAAAACGAGAGGACAAGGGGTCAATTATCCGAAAAGTTCGCTCGACATGAGCGCGTTGCATCGAACATCCGGCGCGAAAAAAGCAGCGGACGCGCGTCAACGCCTCTGATAAATGAAAAATAAAAAATAATTAAAAAAAAAAAACAATGAAAAAAAAAGAGAGATAAAAAAATCAAAACGAAACAAGCAAACAGATAAAGGAACGGAATATTTGCTCGCCGAGTCGGGGAGAAAAAAACAATAGGGACGAGATAAAACCAAATAGAAAAAGGCAAAAAGGACGAGGAGTTGGAAGTCCGGGGTGATACTGCGACCGCCCGAAGCGCATCCGGCGATTATTCCCGGATTACGAGAAAATGCATCCGCCGTTTCTATTTTATGTGCGAGGGTGGGCACCGAGGCTTTTCCTGCGTGCGCAGTCTTGCGCTTACTTCCGGCTGAGCCGATCGAACACCCCTGACGAATAGCAGAAAAATCGCCGGGACGAAAATTACGATCAAATATTAACTTTTTCGAGGCTGTATACCTTTCGCCGCTTTTACCATTTCGTACGGCGTTTGATGAAGAGCAATATGGCTTCCTTTTGGTATGCGGGATAAGCCGTGCAACGCTTTTTTATTTAGATTTTTTGTTTTTGTTTTTGTTAATTATTTATTTATTTAATTTTTTTTTTTTTTCTTCTTCTTTTTTCTTTTTTTTTTCTTTTTTTTTCTTTTCTTTATACACAACGAATGATACGGAGCTATTCATTGATATACATATTTATGAGTCCGATGTTTTTGCTATATTTTTCGATTTTCACTTGTTTTCACGAAAATTTCATTTTGCTTTGCGAGTGACTGTTGGAAATTTCGGTTTTCGCTCGGTCGCAACACCACTCGTTAGACTTATTTAATCCACGGTCGGAGATAAAAACAATTTCGACATTTTTTATGAAAATAAGAACGTTAAGTCTTGTGCCTATGTAAGTATAACCACTTCGTTGTCCTTTTTCCGTTTCCTTATTACTTTCTGCTTTACTTTGTACTAAGCGAAGAAGCGATTTTAATCATAAAATAATGTCAAAATACATTTTGAAAGAGTCACCGTGATATCGTCAGATCTTAATTACAACTTGCATCAATGACATCGTGAACTTTCGTTCTATTTTCAATTTACTTGCGACGACATTCAGACTTAATTTGAATAAGCGTCATCTAAGGGGAGCAAAATTAGGAACTAAAGCATAGTATCGAAAAAAAAAAAAAAAAAAAAGCGTAAATTCAATGGCGACCTTAAGATCTTTTTAAAAATTTCATACATTTACGCTTTATCAAATAATAACTATCAAGCTCGAACTCGCTCAATTTATGATAGCGAGTAAGAAATTGTGACTAACGATGAAAAATTATGATAAGAGAGCGTGATGAAATAGGACGTGCATAGGTATTGATAGATTTTATTTAGAGGGGATCATCTTTCGTAAAAATAAAAGATTTCGACTTCAATTTCCGGTTGAATAAAAATTACCAGCCCCTTTTTTGTAATGTTTTCATTTTTTTTCTGTTGTTTTTTTGTGTTGTTTTTGTGTAATTTTTTTTTTTTTTTTTTTTATTTATTTTTTTTTGTTTTTTTTTTATATTTTTTTATATTTTTGCATGACCCAGGCTTCCAAATTTAATATTGGTAAAACCAAATTGCATAATAATAATTGTTTGCGCATAGTGTTTATGATCGGTTACGTATCGAAAGAAGGTGTTTCGTAAAAAAAAAAAAAATTAATTTCTTTCAAAAGTCAACTGCACTCTCAACTTCTAAAACCGAATTTTTCCAAATATAAACTAAAAAAAATTATTTCCAATATGAAGTAACGAAAATATTTCTTAAAGTTAATTTTTTAACTAAAACTTAATTTAATTAGATATATAGAATTGGTTTTATTATAGTTCAGTTGTCATTAATTTAAAACAAAGTATGAAAATTCATATCTCTCTCTCTCTCTCTCTCTCTCTCT